GGCTGCTCCAGGCGGGGGAGCTGAGCTGGAGTCGCCCCAGCTGCTAAATCCCCAAGGCTAATCCCAGCAGGACTGGGCTAAGCCAGCCCCAGCACCTCCCGGGGATATTCCTGGCTTGACCTGCCTGAAATTCTACCGGGTTGAGCGATGCCTTTGGTTTTGGTGAAGCCGCGTCGTCCGTGTGCCGAGGAGAAGTGTGGCCAGGCTTGTTTTGTGGGGCAGGTCCATAAATGAGCTCCTAAAGATGAGTGTGCTCAGGAGGCTGCGCCAGGGAAGGTTCTCCAGGCTGGCCTCGTGCTGGTGCTGGGGCAGTGGGAGCTGGCAGGGATGGAGGGGACATTGGATGGCTCAGCCATGGTTCTGTGGTGGGCATGGCAGGAGGGCTGTGTGCCCCCTTCCAGCCCCTGGGGGGTCTCCTGGTTGTTCTGCAGAGTCATCCCAGCCTGGAGGAGGAGGAAGACCTGCCTGGACCCACCAGCACCAGCTCTGCCTTGCTGGGAAGAGGGAGCCTTTGTTCCTGGCTTCAGCCAGCTTTTGGGCCAGCATCTGTTGACCAGATGTGTGCCCAGAGCGGGGGGGGATGGTGGTGCACGGGCTCCATCCCTGCTGGGACCGGTCAGAAAGTCCCTGGGCAAAACTGCCTGCTGCAGCATTCCCCTGCCCTGCCACCCCTGTAGCTCCCAGGAGGTTGGAGTCTAATCCTGGGCACCCAGGGACAGCTGGAACTCATGGTGACCATGATGGAGCTGGGCCAGCCCGATGAGAGACAAAGCCCAAGACCGGTGGGGACGGAGAGACCCAGGAGTGCTGGGCTGCGTGGCCGTGGGGTGGCACTGGCAAGGGCTGGTTCCTAGCTCCTATTTCCCAGTTCATGCTGCTGGGGCAACAGCCGAGATCGTCCAGCAGGGACGTGTTGTGGGAGCGTTCAGAAAAAGGAGCCTGGCTGGTGTTTCACTGTGAGTGAGGGCTGGGGCTGTGGGACTGCACAGACCTGGGGGTGCTGGTCCCTGCCCCATGTTGGGAGAGTGTCCTGGGGAGCAGCAGGCAAAGCCCAGACCCCTGGCAGAGCTGCTGGGGTGGAGGGGGGGGTTGTTTCATCCCCCCCAGCACCTGGGGCTGGGGGCTGCAGGGCTGCTCCCCGGGGCCAGTTCCCCTGCTCTGGCCACGTCACCCCCACAGGGCTGTGCTGGGTGCTGGGTGTGCACAGTGGGGTCCTGGGGCAACCCCCTGTGCCAGCCCTGCTTCCCTGGGGACAGCAGTGTCCCCAGCTCTGCTTTGTCCCCTGGGGAGCCACAAGGCACAGGTGACATGCCCCCCAGCACTCTC